GAGTTTGCAAAGTACTTTCTAATTAAATTTTAAAATGCAGAATTAAAAATTATCGGTATATAGGTGCGTGGTCGAACGGCGGCATCCGTGGACTTTAAATTGAACACTGAGCTTAATTCGCCCTGTTCGTAGTACAGTTATTAGTTAACGGTCCGAAAACTTATTTGACAGATATTGTAAAGTTACATAACAGCTACAAGATGTTTAAATTCTCACTGAGCCTATTGATTTCTGGAAGATAAACACATTAATTTTTAATTCTGCATTTTAAAATTTAATTAGAAAGTACTTTGCAAACTCAGGAATAAAAACCCCACCGAATTCGGCGAGTTTTAGCAGACTAACTACATTAATATGTACAGTTTGTCAACAGACAGTCATAAATAAACATACGACAAGATTGATTTACCATAATCCCGGTCTTTCAATTATTAGAAAGTCAATTAGAAAGTCAGAAAAATTCGCTATCCGGTTGATTTTGAAAGCTAGCATTTCCGAAGGTGACTTTCTGTATTACTGTTTGTGTATCACTTGCACCCGACCCGGCCCATTGTCTTTTTGACTCTATCTTGACACCGAGCACGGGCGAGGGAGGGTCGAGGGAGTGCGCTGGATGCAGTGCAAGAGCACTAACACTTAAAACTAAGCATCGCGCTAATCAAAGCCCATGCGCCACCATATTTTGGAGCATACGGCAGAATTCTTTGGATGCGACGGTTGAACTATAGTTTTATCCTACGTTTGCATGGAGCACTGAGCGTTAGGTTTATGATATTTTCACCTAGGTTCGATTTTAGCTGCTCTTTCTATAGTCTGATACATAGAGCAGTGACCGGTTCTGTGCGGTAAACTTAGACTAGCTGTTTAACTCTGTCAGCCGCTGCATCCGTGGTCACTTCTAGTCGTTCCGGAACCGTTTGTTTTTCATCAGAGAAAGTTGGGCTAGAAAGGGGAGCGAGAGTGCAATAAAAGCCGCGTAAATCATCGCTGCACCTACTCCGTGGAAGCACTCGCCAGACGACGCTCACGGAATCTGAACTGTCAAAATTACTTGTCGTTGTCGACGCTCAAAATCTGTGTCAGCGCATCGAAGTGCTGTCAGGACTGATGTATTTGCAAGTAACCTGTTCGCTATTTCAGGCATACGACTAACTTAGTTTTGCTACTTCTTGTAGACAATTTGCTGTCCAGTCTGCCGGACTCCCTCGGCGATCTCACAAATCTGCGCGAACTCTGTCTGGACAGGAATCCCTTGCAAACCCTACCCCTGCGTCTGGGACGCCTCCGACAGTTAAAGAAACTGACTGTTCCCCTGGACTCCCTTTCGACTCCTCCAAGAGGTAATGCCCTCGCATGTATTGAAAGTCTTTATCACATTTTGTCGCCACTTTTGCGCCCCCTTCCTACCTGTGTTAAGGCAACTCCAACAGAACACATTTGTGTACTTTGTGTATGTGTGTGTTGACCTTTTGTCGGTCGCCGGACCGTCGGTTTCGACGATGTCCACCATGTGCTACATAGAAGGATGGTGCAGGGGCGGCGACTTGCGCTGGATTATAGTGAAAATAGACTTTCGAAGTATTTACCTCACTCTCTGTTCCACTTCCCCACCTGGGCCCGGTGTCAAGACAAAATCAAGAAAACCGAAGAGGAAGGAGGGTGCAGGTGGACGACGCGGCATGAGCCTGAACCTGCGCGTGCTACCACGCCCCCTCCCCCCTTTTTCGGCATTTATCTTGGGAGCGCAACCCGAATAACACCTGTCGTACCCTGATCTGGCCCCCGTGTTGGTCCATCG